GGCCACTTTGATCTTCAAATTCCTCTTGCTCCAAAGCAAGGCATCTACTCCTTCACACAGCTCCCGCAAACTGCATGATATGAAGCATTAATTCCATTCATACCTGAGAAGATCAACTTATCTTCAAATGATGTGCCACAACATCACTTGAGGCCTTGAAGTTTTTGCTTGATGTCACAACTTTGGTTAAGACATCCAGCTGGAGAGTTCAGACTTTCATTCTTCCACTTAGAGGATTCTCTTTACTCAATTAGAACAAGAGTACATAGGCTTGATATCCAGTTGGAGTAGACAACCTCAATCCTGCTTTGTTGTACCACAACAATTACCTTGAAGTGCATTTGCTTCATGAAACTCCTCTTTAGAGAAACCAAACATGCCAAAACTTGATTCTTTTAGGGAGGAAGTATCACACAAGTCTTTACAAAAGGATTCCCGCTTTCCTTAAATATAGACTTCTTCAGAAAATCAAAGATAACTACCACTTATCCTTGACCTCCAAGCTGAGCAAGGTCATATGCTCCTGTGCACTTAGATCAGAAATAAACTGACCTAAGCAGTGCTATCACCAACACCATCTTCTAGACAAGTTTCTTGCCAGGAAACTTTCTAGCTAATAGATCAGGTGCTTCTAGTAGAAACTAGAACACAACTGATGCACTCCAATACTCTTATAGAGCAGATTGTCTTCATCTTCACTCCTATCATCACTCCATTATAGCCTTAGTTTCTTGCCAAGAACCTTACTAGAATGAGTACAGATCCAACTATATCTCTTTTGATCTATGGATCAACAAAATTCTGCACAATCTCTGCTGATGGAATGTCTCAACATTTGCTTGAACATTAGACCTTTGAAGTTGACCATACACAACAAGGCCCAGATGCTTTGTGCAATGACAGAGATTCTTCTTCCAGAAGCCATACTTGGATCATCCACCTAATGAACCAATAGAGCTTTGACAATGTTGATCATTATGGATAATCAATTAAATACTTGTGCATTCCACTAGTAGAGATTGATCTTAAATCCATACAACTTGTCGAGAAGGCCAGATGACTACACTTCAGTAATACCAAGAGTATTCTTTAGTATAACTATCTTTAATGTTGAAACAGCAAGGCTGCCACCCTTGACTCAACCTCTCCATGACTTCCTCTGCTGATAGATTCCTATGAGTGGTGAAAATAAATCACTTCCCACACAACAGAGCAGCCCAGGCACACAACCAAACACAGCTGCAAACACCATCTTCCAATCATCTACACAATTGCCACAACCATGCATCAAACTGAATATAGGCCAGTCTTCTCCCAGGGGCACCAGAGTTCTTTTATCAGAGAAATATGCAGCGGAACCACCAAAAGAACATCTTCAACATGCCCTAACCAAGATGTCAGATCATTGGACAGAAGTAGCCACTCCTACTTTGGCAGAACATACAGCAGGTCATAGAAGCTCCTATATCAGAGGGCACAACAACAGATACAAGCTTCTCCTTAGCTCTATAAGCAGTAGCAAGATCAGCAACTCATCTACAACTTCTCCTTGTTCCAAAACACCAGAAAGTATCTCCCAAGATCTCATCCAGAACATACAGGATGCCTGCTCTGATACCAATTGAAATTCTGGTATGCAGATCACATGTGTTCCAAGAACATTGATCTCTGCTCAACAAGGATGAGGACAGACCATGGCCAATTTAAATTTCTTTAAATTGTCCCAATGTCACGCCCTCTGTTGTGACATCTGTAGTTTGTCATACTATTTATCTAACCATTTAAAGTACAGAATTGTAAATGCAGAAAGATAAATAACACAGTAATTGTTCACCCAGTTCGGAATCAACAACACCTACATCTGGGGGCTACCAAGTCAGGGAGGAAATTCACTATTAGTAGAATCAATTCAAAGTCAAACCTCCAGTTTGCACTTCTCACTTAATCTCTACCCAATGACACCTCAGCCTAGAGACACTCTAGTACCTGAGTATACCCACTCCTTCCCCATCAATCACACAACAGTGATATCAAACAATTACAAAAATAAGACACTTCACACACACCTTGATCTTGCTTCACAGCTTTGATTAAGGAACTCACACACTCTTGCTTCACAGCTTCGAGTGAGACACAGCCTAGAATCTACCTAACCAAAATAATCATCCACCAGACAATTGCTTAGATTACAAGTATTCCTAAACAGACTTTATACGTGAAGACTAGCCTTCTTCACTTGCCAATATGTCTACCTCAATGTATCAAAAGATACAAAGGGGGACTTACACACAAGGGACTCTCAACCCTAGACCTCTATTTTACACTCTGGTTTTTCCTAGTATGAATGCTTGCTTTTCCCTTGCTTCTGCGCCTCCTTTTATAGCACTGCAGACTGGACTTGGGCTGTGCAGAAGTAACAAATATTAGTTTTAACAAAATAAAACTAATTTCCATAATCCAAGGTGCTGTCCAATTAGGTCATGGCATGGTTAGCATTGCCTTGAATCTCTCCTGAGATAACTCAGGGGTCATAACAAGTCTCCTGAAATCTAGCCTGAGATAACAGAAAACCAACATGCCTGCACGACTGATGTCATACAATCAATGTCATGACATTCAGTATGACATCCACTCTTCTGCAGAATTTTTCTTTACACCAGACCTGGCTTCACCCAATCTTCTACAAAATAACATTAGAAATAAATATATTAGAGTTTCCTAAAAGGTCTCCAAGATCCTTTTATGAATCTCAATACACTATGTACTTGTTCCTAATATATCTCCTTGACATATTTACTGATGAGGTAATTTCCAACATGGTCTCATCAATCCAAACCAATTATGTCAAGAGATATCCACTAGCAGCTCCTTCTGTTGTCATGCAACGATATCCTGCTTAAGACACATGACAGCACACCTCACTCACTACCTGTGAGGAATTTCATCACAACTTAACCTGTTGTGGCTGCACACCTCACACTGCTTGTGAGGAACTTCATCACAGCTCAACCTGTTGTGGCTGCACACCTCACTCTCCACTTGTGAGGAAGTGAGGAACTTGGCTACTGCTAACACATAGCAGCTACTCCACTCCTAACTACCTTAGGATCACCTGCTGTACCACACAGGGTCAATGACATTCTGATTAAAAATTATGACAACAGTTTTAATCAGTTGTTGCTTACTCCTGTAGCGATGTCATAACTATGGTAATGACATCCTGCTTAACATTAGTGCAGAGTCATGTTTTCCCAAAATTTAGCCAATCATAGGACCATGGATACTCATGGAACTAACAACTCTACTTTTTATAAATAGAATAAATCAATTGTACTATAAATATCCTTGATCACTTATTTTTAATAATATACCATTATGATTTGTTTGAATAAATATGAAAATTATTTCACAAATATTCTATTCTATTCTATAAATATGTTTTAGAAAATTATTTCACAAATAAGAAAATTATTATTTATATTATAATAATTAAATATATTGATTTATAGAAATATTTAATATCAAATTTATAATATCTTATTCTTATAAATAAAACTACTCTATCAATATAATAATATATTTTTATAATTTTCTTATTTTTATGTTTGCAATTAATATCATTTTTATATCATATTTTTACACTTATGTAAAAAAGATTTATAACGATAAAAATAAATAAATAAAATATAATATTAACGGGTCAGCTTAATCATTGAGCAATATATATTTATCTATTTAATATATAAAAATATGTAATACGGAAAAAATGTGTTATTTTTTAATTATTTATATTACTAATAAATAATAAATGAGATAAATATTTATAAATAAAAAGATAATAAAAAAAAACATAAGTAATATATAAATTAAATGACATTAAAATTATATGTTAATATAAAGAATTCTATTTTATTATCACCAAAACAAGAAATAAAAGAAAATAATTAAAGAAAATAAAAATAAAAATAAAAATATTTTAAATAATATATGAATTCAAACACGAGAAAATGTATTTATTTTTATTATTAATATTTATTTATAGAATTAAAATAATATTTTCAAATACTATGTTAATAGTTGATATTATAAAATTAAATGATTGCATACATATTTTTATAAATAATGTCTAAAAAAATTTAATATTTATATATGGAAAAATATATTGTTAGATCCAAATATTTGTATATATGAAAAAAAAAGTATATTCATGCCCCAAATAAAACAAACAATATGTTTTTCTTTTAAAAATAATAACTTTCTTGGTTGAACAATTGACTTTCTATTTTTCATTGTTATTACATTCTAAAAACAAATGTGCGTAATACATCATTATCCGCACGAACGCACAGATATCTAGAATAAAATCGTGCTAACCCATGGATTATTACATTTTTTGTACAATAAAAAAATATCTAAAATAATGTATGAATCCAATTAAAATAATATTTTTAAATACTATATTACTGGTTGATATTTATAAAACTAAATAATTTCATAAATATTTTTATAAATAAGAGAAAAACAAATTTAATTTTTACATATGAAAAAATATAGCGTGGATCTAAATATTTGTATATATATGAAATAATTATATTTATGCCGCAAGTTGATTCAAATATTTATATATTCGGTTGATTCAAATAATTATTCAATTAATCTAAATAAGATTGACCCAAATATTTGAATATACTGTGAAAATAATAAAAAAAATTAGTTAAATTATTGTCTTTTTATAATAATAAAATGATATTATTAATAAATGCATATTTAAAAATTTATAAAGAGTTTAAGGAAAAATATTCTTAAAATATCTTATAATAATTAGTCAAATCTGAAGCGGACAATTGCGCGCAGGGATCTCTGTCGTTACCGACATAATATTAATTATAATATTATATAAATTTAATATTAAAAAAAGTGCATAAAAGGAGAAGGCACATTGCACCCTCTCACTCAAGTCTCAATATCATCCTATCTAAGAAAAAACAAGAAGAAGAAGAATGGCAACACTTGGTGGAGTTAGCGAAGTGGCAGGAACCCCAAACAGCCTTGAGATCGACAGTCTCGCTCGCTACGCTATTGAACAACACAACGCCAAACAGGTTTCTTTCTTTTCTCACCAATTACTCTCTTTCATGTCAATTATTTCTTACGATAACCGCTTTTGTTCCTAATATGCATGTTATTGAATTAGATCCCCTATCTTGCAGTTATTTTTAGTTCTTTTTTTGTATCATTTTGATTTAGTTTGTGATGATGGTTATGCAGAATGCACTTCTGGAATTTTCAAGGGTGATAAGTGCAAAACATCAAGTGGTTTCTGGTACTTTGCACCACATCACTCTTGAGGCAAAAGATGGGGGGAATAAAAAGCTTTATGAAGCCAAGGTTTGGGAAAAGTCTTGGCTCAACTTCAAGGAGGTGCAGGAGTTCAAGCTTGTGGAAGATGTGCCTGCCCAGTGAACTACTTAACTAGGTATTTCTTCGCTCATACCTCATTTTTTAATTATGATGAATGAATGCAAATCTTCAAAATTATGAATCAAAATATGAGTTTAGAATGATTATGGAAGAAATTGGGTAAGAATTACAACATTTTAAGATTGTGTGAATTCTAAGAAAACCCTCCCTCCACTCATCATCATGAGAGATTCCACAAGGTACATTTGTAAAGGAGAGCGAAACTGTGTTGTTTTCCCTAGTAACTGATCCATCTCCATCTCCCTTGAACCTTCTTCCACCATCGCCATCTCACTTCGCTTTGCCTTTGAACTTTGCCTTTGAACCTTCTCTATTTTTTGTTTGCAAAATTGGTTGAATCACTTTCATCTTGTTCTCACTACAGTCGACGAATCTCCACCCCCTGTGTTTTGCTCATCAAAAACAGCCCCACTCCATTATTTCTTGGTCTTGCACTAAGGTTGTATGAATAGATTTTCAAATCATGTTGTGATAGACTTCTAGGAAGAGAGTGATTGTCATTTACTTTCTAATGTAAAAATGAAATGAATAGAAAGTAAATTGTCATGAAATGAATAGATTGTTTCCTTGCTATGCCCCAATTTACTTTCTGACATCATTATCCGCACGAACGCACAGACATGAAATGAATAGATTTTCAAATCATGTTGTGATAGACTTCTAGGAAGAGAGTGATTGTCATTTATTTCTAATGTTTCCTTTTCGACTGATAAATCAAATATTTGAGAAGGCATTAAAGAATTTTTCAAAATGCAATTTTAAATTAGATTAATTATTTACTAAGACTCTGATTAGATTCAAAAACATTGATTTCAGTTTTTCCAAAAGATATTTTTTCTCCAGTTTGGTCCAATCTTCTCTATCACATTTTAAAAGGAAAATTTGTAAGCAAAAGCCATTTCCGATTTTCAGCTACCACATCCAAAGTAAAAATGAAAAATGAAAACGTTGTTAGAAAGTAAATTGACCTTGCTATTAGAGGATCAATTCCTGTTAAAATATAAGGCATTTGCAATTGTTTCCTTTTCTCAGATGTTCTTGGTTTTTTTGCTTATCCAGTATCAGGAATCAGGATCGATGTATCCTGTATTCACACTAGTATTAATTGGTTTTTGCTGCCAAATAAGGAGTACAGTTTGTATATTTTCACCATTGGCATACCACAAGAACAATACTCAGTTTTATTTTGTAAGGATTGTAAACGGTCGTTATTAGGAATTTACTAATAGTTATGTGATTTTCATGTAGAGAGAATAATCTTTTTCCACAATATATGTTGGTACAAAAGGTAAAGGTATATAAGAATATTAGTATTAGTGAAAAGGAAAAGAAAAAGGAGAATAATTTTTTTTGTTTTTAGCCTTTTCAAATGAAGATAGTTCATCCAATTATAAAGAGAAAAAAGAGTGAAGGAGAGAATATGTTCGTTCAATCAAATGGTAGAATATTATGGTGCAGAGGAAAAAAGAGTGAGAATAATTACTTTTTTGTCCAAATGATATTGGTGTAAAATGCTTTTGGAACGAAGCAAGATTTTCGTATCTCATTTTTCCTATTTTGCTAGCTTGACATATTGGAACTAAACATCTTTTCATTGATTTTTCAGGTTACTAAAGAATAAATAAAAATTATGTGTCTAGGCTTGGCTTGAAGATGAAAATTCTAAGGATACTTTAATATTATGCTATATGTATGAAATAAATCTTCCTATTGCTGCAGGGATTTGAAACTTGTAATGAGTGTTGGAATTTTAGTTTCGAAATCTCGTTGCGGTTGACTATTTAACAAATGTAAGTGTATAACCCTCTCCTTGTCTAGTTGTAACATTACATTGCAGACAAGCATGCCGGTTAGGGTGTTTTGTGTTCTGTTTCTAAATGCTCAAATTGCACGAGGAAGAGTTTCGTTTGATTTGAATTGTTTTGGTAAAATATGTGATGTGATTTGATTCTATTAAATGTGGTTTATATTTGATTGGTTGATTATGTTTTTATATGCATAGTAACCACAAATTTGCTATCTTGACACCCATTCTTACACCCACATACTTACACATGTACTGTAGACCGTATATATATGGTGAATAGTATTTTTTATTAAAATAATATATTTTCTTAAAATATTAATTTTTTTAAAAAAAAATATTTATTTTTAAAATTTATTTTATAACACAAATAAGATTGCGTTATTAACCAACTTCACAATTGCATTAACCACAAAAATCTACATCATTAACCAATTATTTTATCTATAATTCATTAATCACTTTTACTACTTCATTAACCAATAAAATATATATAATTAACTATGTTCTGAGACTAAATTATAAATATATACATAAGTATTTGTGAACACTAAATTGGGTGTAGTGTACCTTTTTGGTGTAAGAATAACATTTTTCTTTATCTTATGTTTTAAGTGAATAATGAAAAGAAAAACGTTCTTCCTTAAGAGTGTGAAAAAAAACCACTTATTCATAATTAAATTGGTATTCAAATTCTCTATTTTAAAAAATCCAATCCAATTACTACGGTGAAGAATATCTATTTTGTTATCCAAATATAAAGAGATAGTTATAATTATGATGCAATTTAATTATTGGATATTTAAATTTCATTATTAATTAAACTTTGTTTTTTCATTTTGTTTTTTCATGATTTATGATATACATATTAAGATGAAAAATCAAATTTCTCTAATAACACATTAATAAATTCTGAATTAAAAATTTTATTTTAAGAAATTAATTATTAAATTAAAATAAACTTATTTATAATATTATGTTTTGCAAGTGATTAATATTTTTAAGCAGATTATTTTAAGTATTACTATAACACTGCATTCAATAAGAAGGAGATAGTTGTCTTTTACTTTTGCAGATTGTTTTAATGGTTGAATTGATTAAAACTGTTATATATAATGAAATTAGTACAGTAACGTAGTTGCTCAAAAATATTAATCACGGTATTATGATACTCACACATCTAATTAATTGGAGAATATCTATGTTTTAAGTATTTAAATTTAAAAATTAATATTAATTTTTTTTGACACTATTAATTTTATTTAGAAGAATCATAAAATTTGTTTTAAGTATTTAAATTTAAAAATTGATATTAATTTAAAAGGAATAAATTTAGATTCAATTAAGTAATTTGGATTAAAATCAAAACCAATTTAAAATCGGTTTTAAACCAATTTAGAATCGATTATAAATTTCAAATTGATTTTTGTGATAAGTTGTTTGGTTTATAAACCATAACCATAAAAATGGGTTAGTTCACATTAATCAGTTACCACGCACACCCCTAATTAGGGGTAGAAATAGACTTGGCCGATTTTACCAAGCCTAAGTCTGACCTGCTAAATTAATAAGAGGATTTTTTTCCACCACATACATTTCTTAGGCACCATGTGGATTTTTTATTATGCCTCCAATTTCTGGAGATATATCTACAGATGCACCATTTGCATCCCCAACAAAGACCATTCTAAGTGGCGTCTCGTGCATTTGCTAAAACTTTATTCCGGAGATATATCTTTAGAACAATTTGAGGAAAACATTTAAATTGTTCGGTTCAGTGAATAATTCGGAGATATATCCGTAACTTTGGGCGACAATTTGAATTTTTCTGTCACCTTTGCATGTCATATTTTTTCGAAGATGTATCTCCAAAAATATCTGATATAGTTTCCAACTGCATAACCAATCCCCCAATGTTGCCATTCTTCATTTTCAACTCAAACCCTCACCCCAAAAACCCCTTACATTCTCAATCTCATTTCTCACTCCAAATCCCCATCCTTTTGGTTCAACATATCACAGAGAGGAAAAGAAGATCGAATTTCTGGTAAAGATTGTTCATTTTCATCTACATTGCTCACATTAATCATGAAAGTTTGCTGAAAAAATCTACGCATTGTCCGGAGATGTATCTTCAAAACGAATGTATATGAACTTTTCTGGAGATACATCTCCAGAATATTTCTGTGTTCATATAAAAAATTCTTCCACAAAAGAATTATATGCAGATTCCGTCATTCATTTTTGGTAAGTGTGTGAAAAGTATCTTGCTTTGTTGAAATATGTTGAAAGCACTATTCTTGATCAGATGAAGGAGAAGATAGTTTGCGCGTGGAATGATAATGTCTGACACCTTGGAAACACAACCACGAACATAGTTAAGTCGGTCCATGCTACTTTGAAAAATTGGTTGGGAAATAGCAAGGGGAATTTGTGTCGAGACTGGGACTCCGTGAACCACATGATTCAAAACCAACATAATAAGATACAAACAAAATTTGGTCGAAGCATTATAGTTTTGGAACACCGATTTAAAAATAACATTCTTTATTCTCATTAAGTCGGCAACGTTTCTCAGGCAGGGTTGAACTATATTTTTCATGAGGCTAAATGAGATGATAATGTAGGCTCTGATAGCGCAAAATGTGGTTGCACTATTATGAAAACATATGGTCTCCCATGTGCTTGTGTTATTGCTAAAAAGGTGAAACTTGGTTGTCGTACCTTGAAAAATACAATCTTTTGCGAATGGTCGTAGAAAATATGTTCGAACAGAGTCACCATCGAAATTTATTCATTCCAATGAAGGAATAGGAAAATATCAATAAAACCTTTAAGATAAGAACATGGTCATCGCAACTAAGTTCTAGGTTCGGGAGTCGATTACGCAAGAGAAATGTATTAGCACCCCTCACGCCTGTTGTACTCAACGAGAACCTCTTGGTTCGATTTGTGATGAACATTAGCTAAGGTTGTTTGTTACTTATAAACAAATAATGCGAAAAGGTATGAGAAAGTGGTTTTGATTGCTAAGGGGAAATGGGTTCTACAAAGGTCCTTAGAGTCATTGATCCTTATGTAAATATCAAGGCCAACGACAACTACATGTTGAGCGCCAATATTCTCAAAGGATCTACTCTAATCGAGATTCTCATGTCAACCCTAACGAGATTTAAAT